AAAAAAAAAAAAAAAGAGTTGGGGGCCTGGGCCTTGGGTGTGGAGAGATGGGGGTTGGTGCACTTGCGCTGGGGAACGTATCTGGGCAGGCTTGAAGAAGGGGTCAGAGGAGTCTGGAGGCCAGGGTCTTGGGGCTAGAAGACCCCAGTCCTCCAGAGCAGCAGTGTCCAACAGAACGTGCAGCCAAGATGGAAATTTGCAAGATCTGTGCCACACTGGCCCTGGTGGCTACAGTACCGACAGCTCTGCAGTGAGGGGCAGGCCAGAGGAGAGCAGGGGGATCAGAAGCCCTGACTGCACCTCCCACTGGGATGGGAAGTCCAACCCAGGGCTGCCCTGCCTCTGGTCTGGCCCTGACCAGACCCCTGGCCTGCCTTCCCCTAGCCTGCCTGCCCCAGCCTGTGGGCCTGGATGCCAGGGCCTACTGGAGAGCTGCGCTACCGATCGTCCTGCTGGTGTGGCTCAGCCTGTTACAGGCTTTTGGGTACCGGCTCCGGAGGGTCATCGCAGCCTTCTACTTCCCCAAGGTTTGCCCTTCCCCAGACCTCTCCATCCCTACACACGGGCGCACACACACCCTCATATACACACCACACGCTGCACCCAGCTCCCAACCAACTCCATCTTTGGGGGATGCCTTCTTCCTCACACTGTCACTATCACTGACCCCCTCCCTGCCCCCAGCGAGAGAAGAAGCGGATCCTGTTCCTTTACAATGAGCTATTGAAGAAGAGAGCAGCCTTCACCAAACTCAGAAGGGCCGCCATCCTGAGGCGGGCACGACAGCAGAAGGCTCCAGTAAGTCCAGACATGCTGCTGCTGCTAGCTCCCGGCTGGGTCTAAGTACCCAGGGGCAGGGACAGCTCCCTTCAGTCCACCCAGCACCCACCAATGGTTGCAGGCCTACTCGAGCCTGGTGAGTTCTTATTTTTTATTTTTTGAGATAGAGTCTCACTGTGTCCCCCAGGCTGGAATGTAGTGGCATGATCTCGGCTCACTGCAACCTCTGCCTCTCCAGTTCAAGTCATTCTCCTGTCTCAGCCTCCCAAGTAGCTGGGATTACAAGTGAGTGCCACCACACCCAGCTAATTTTTTTGTATTTTCAGTACAGATGGGGTTTCACCATGTTGGCCAGGCTGGTCTCAAACTCCTGACCTCATGTGATCCGCCCGCCTCAGCCTCCCAAAGTGCTAGGATTACAGGCATGAGCCATCACACCCGGCCAAGCCTGGTGAGTTCTGGTGATGCAACACATGCTGAGGGCCCCAGCCATCCACCTCCTGAGGTTAGGGCTGTACCCGTTTCTGAACCCCAGGATTCAGCCCAGCCTAAGACACTCAGTAGACCATTAGGAAGCAGGCAGAAAAGGAGAATGAGATTTGATACCGTCTGCTCATAGAAAAGCAAGAAGGCCGCACAGAAACAGGAGGCCCAAGGCAAAACCAGAGGTTCTACCAGAAGGCTGCAGACCAGAAGCTCAGTGCAGCTCAGAGGGGAGGTGGGCTGGGAGTCAGGAAGCCTCATGGTAAGGCATATGGAATCTGAAGAAGCAGACTCC